GATTTTGGGACACCCTGCCGAGGATGGATCGAAACGCGGTGTGGTGAGTGTGACCTTTGCGAGACATTATCAATTACCTTAAACGAGAAAAAGTAAGGCAAACAGGAAAAAAAATTAATTAAATAAATAAATAAATAAATAAATACTGTAGTAACATCGCAATTGTATGTTGTAAACATTACTATTTCAAATATACTGTCATTATTAACAGGAGAGAGTTTGTCACTTTAGCCACCTACGAGCGTTACCCGGCGGGTGGAGGAGGATTTTCTACGGGGTGTTCTTGAAATAGCGTTTTTAAGAGCGCGGGCCGACGCCACGGTGAATAGGGGTCGTGTACACGTGAGTCTGGACATTTCCTGGCCCCTCCGCTCCCCCGACCCCTGCTCGCTCGGTATACAAGCGCGCTCATTGTTCACGAAGATTGATGTGACACCTTTTTCATCTTTAGGGCGAGCGGAACACGGCCCCGGAGCCTACCTATCGCGGGAACACTCTGTACATCGCGCGCCGGATGAAAATTATCGACTAGAATCGCTTTGCTAGTTTTCAGGGTAGGCGAAGTTCACTGGCGTGGCTCCAGGACGATTCTCCTGGAGCTGCTGCCGCTCGCGACGCTGTTCGCCGGACGACGCTCGGTTTAGCTTCCTTCGCGAGAGCTGTTCGAACGGAGCTAACTCGCACAAGTATTTGCGTGGCCCATTACGGAAGTGGAACAGATCAATTGACGCGGCTCGGGCTAGTGCTGTTTCACCCTTTGCAGGCAGAATATTTTTCGCTAGGATACTCGATGCTTCGCTGAATGTAGGAATGCATCGAATAAAATACGTTTGTTTTCTCTCGATGCTTGAGTATTTAGTATCGAAGTGCTAGTTGAACAACTGAGCCTTTCGAGACTCGTTTGGAAGGGTTGCGAACCGATAGTTTCGAATAACAGGTCAGTGTTCTCTTTCGTAGTATTTAGAGGATCAAGGTATCGAGTAGCTAGCTTCGTTAAGAAAAAAATCTTTCTTCCTATTGCATATTACTTATAAGCACATAAATACCACTAAAACGAAATTTGGAGTTTCTTCGACCATAAACTAAGGAACTAGGAAGCTGTGGCAATTGCCAGCAGCACCCCTCGGAGGTGAATAAAGAACATAAACTTTTATAACATCTTATTTATTCACAGTGGAAAGTTTCGAAGCAATTCCTTTGTTTCGTCAGGCAGAGAGCATTGCATTTTTCGCGTTGAATTCGTGAACGTCCTTCGCACGATTCTAATTTACGTTGTTCGTGACCTTTATGTATCGGCCAGTGTCCAACGTCGTCAAATCTGATGTCACACAGGTATCGCGCGGACCTCTGAATTCGATGGTGGCGATTGCCGCCGGGGCCGAAAGGGTTAAGTCGGAACCGACCCATTCAGACAGTTCTAGTTCTCAATCGTGATCGTAACGATTTCAGAATCACCGAGTCGGAGCAACAACCGATTCGACGTTGTTTCGTTTACTTGGGATCGCAGTAATTTCGCGATTATTCGGATTGCGCGACTAGCTTGAAAATCTCTATGTCACAATTGTCGAGATTGCAATATTTCGAAGAATCCTCGTGGAAGGGTTGAAAGCTGGAGGAAAGCGTATTAGAACCGTTTCCCTCTTCGCTATCGATCAAAAGGTTTTCTACATTCGACACATGAATATTCACGTCGGATACTCCGTTCGGCGAAACACTCTCCGCCAGAGGCGGCGTTGTTCGATCAACAAACAGCCGACTCCGATAATACGCTTCCAACCACCCCGAGGATCCGTCACGGAGGGTGACGGAAGTCGTTCGCCGAGAGAACGCCTCTGCCGCGATCATCTGAAAAGAAAACAGACTAATAAACTGATCCTCGGTTATTCTCTTTACCATCGGCGAGTAAAACGTCATCGTCGGGTCAAAGAGGGTTTTCACCCCCGTTGGAGGATAGTTTAATAGTTCGCGTCTCGCGACCCCTAACAGTGAATAGCGCAGGGGAGAAAGTGGGGAGAGGCAGTGGCGTATTCCGTTGTTCGGGCACCCGGGTGGTGAAATTGAAGAGGCCTGTATTATTCAATTATTATATTTCTCATGAATCATCCTGTAATAAATGATAGTTGGTACACATTATTCTGTATTATCAATTTGAGTGTTAAGTTGCAAAGTAACCTACATAGTGGTCTCACTGGAAATTTTGATTTGTTGATTAAAAGCACTAATGAGAAACAGTAGGGACAATAAAAGTATTTACGTTCAGAAATGTACGTGCAGAGAAATAAAGAGCGTGTAGTAAATCATTCATTTGCGGGAGACAAAAATGACTTGGTAAACTATTCTTCGGTGAACGTTGACGTATTTCGATTGACGCGGTAAGGAGCGTGTTAATTATTTATTTTTAACCCGTTCGCTAGCAGCGCCGACCGTAGTCGGCGTCCGCATGTATCGCAAAGTGCAAAGTTCGCTCGTTGCTATGAAAATATTATCTACCAGTGGACACTATTAGGATACTCTAAGATATCAGCTAATCTCTAAGTTTAAATCCGAAAGAGGTGAACCTCCAACTTTCGAAATCCGAATGACACTAATCCCAACAACCACCTCTAAACCTAGTCAACATTGAAACTTAAGCGTCGAGCACAGTTAACATCCAATCCCTACAAAAACGGTAACAACAGACAGTTCCGAGTAGAAGAATCAGTTCTAAAAATTCCGTGCGTCCTCGTCAGCAACGAACTCGTCCCTCGATCAGTATTTCACTGGTTCACGAAATTGGCACGGAACAAGCGAAAGCCTCGTGCGAAAACCTCCTCGTTCCGGTTTCCAGCGAAGGAACCGAGCCGGTTCCGGCGCCTAATGCCCCTCGTTGGGACGATTTCCTACATTCGAGGCTCGTGCGACGGCGACGACTGTAAACGAAGGAAATGAAAAGCGGCGGTTTCCCGGGCGCGGTAGTGCCACCGTCCGATCCAGCACTGTCGACAGGCGGCCAGAGCGGAGCAGTCGCTCTCAGGGCGGACAGAGAGGCAGACAGGCGACGCGGGGGCAGGCGTAGAGGGCCGGGAGCGTCGAGTCGTATTGGTTCGGCGCCGTCGGTCGCGTGTGTGCGTTGCGCGGAGCACGCTCTCGCGGAGCAGCCGCGCGGGCCTATATATCGTGCGGGAATCGAGAGCGTCGAAACACGAGCCGAGATCAGAGAGACTGACTCGAGGAAAATCGATCGGTGCTCATCGTCGTCCTCGTCGTCGTCGTCGTCGTCGCCGTCGTGGTCGGTGGTTGGGTCGTTCGGGTTAGCGACGCCTGCGAAGCGTGTCGATTCGTGAACGAGAAGCGGTTCACGGGTAGCCACCGGGTCGCCAGTGTCTCGCCCCTCGGCGCGCCTCGACCAACAGCCCACCCTGCGTGTTCCCGTCGGCCCACCGAACGTCCCGCGGCACGGGACCGTTGAACGGCTGCATCGGCAGGGGATCGGTGATCGGAAAGTGACCGAGCTGCCTCCCTCTCCCGTTACGCGTGCGGTGCGTGTGTTCGCGACACGACCGCGGCGGAGGTTCGGAAGGGTTGAAAGTGAAAACCCCTCGGCCAGCGTGAAACGGCAGGCACGAGGGAGCCGCGCGGCGCCATTGACGGGCAGCGGAGACTCGAATCGTCGCAGCGGCGGGCACGGGGACGCTTGATGACCCAGTAACTGGCCGCCGCCAGCGGAACGTCTCCTCGGGCAACGCGCTCCGGGTCGTCCCGGCGGAGCGACTCGACATCGAGCGGCGTGCGCCCCCCGGACTGCGTGCAGCGGCGTCGAATTGATCCCGGTGCTCTCGGGATTGGATTATCGGATCGATTCGAATTGAACCCGATGCACGCGGGTTCCGCCTCAGAGGACACCGGGGTACGAGAGCCAGCGAAACGTCCTTCGGCCGGATTCATCGGTGAGCGTGTCCTGCGCCCTATTGTCCCCCTTCGACACCCTAGGAGGGGTATCGCTCGGAGGACACCGCGCGAGGAACGGCGTACCTGCTAGGAGCTCGCGGTGGGGGAGACCGTGGCGGAGGAGCCGGGGGTGGGGGACCGGAGGGGAAGGACGTCTACCTCTTGACGTGGAATGATAATAAAGGAGAGCCACAGGACAGGCCGGCGCGGGGCGACATTATGCAAGCAGTGGATTTGAACGCAACCAG